TCATCAGGCTCCTGGAAGGTTCCTGATGTGGGAGATTGGATTATTGGCAGGCAAATGAAGAGTGACACACATTCAGAGAGGTGAGATCTGCTGCCATCTTTGAGCAGGGCACCACTGCCTGTTTCCTACCTGGGTCAAAATCCAAGTGCAAGAGATTTGGTTGCTAGGCAACGCCTATGCTGCCCATGTTTCCGCGGCCATGACTGAACTGCTTAGAATTGGTTTTTTAGCGCTGCTCGTAACAATCCTATGAGGTTGGTATTTTTAGCTTCACTTTTCAAACAAGGAAACTGAGGCCCAACTCTATACACTAATGAAAGCCGTGTTTATTTTTCTCATGGTCAGGACATTACTTTATTCTTTGTCTTGCTACACAGACAAAGGATTATTTGAGATGATTTAGACAAATCTAACTCAAAGAAGCACACTAAACAGATACATAAAAAACTTTTCCACATGCACAGAAAACGTATAAGCCTACCAGGTATTTATTTAGCGTGGTTTAGTGGAGGAGAAACTAAACTAGGAGACTAAACCAAACCCAAACCAGTTGTCGTCAAGATGGTTCTGACTCACGGTGACCTCATGTGAGCAGAGTAGATCTGTGCTCCGCAGGATGTTCAGGGCTGGGATCTTTAGGAAACAGATCTCCAGGCCAGTCTTTGATGCTCTTCTGGGTGGGTTCAGACGGCCGTCTTTTCAGTTAGTAGCGCTTAACTGTTTGCACCACACCACCCAGGGACTCCTAGATAAGGAGACCAGGAGATGGGAGATTTTATTTTTGGTCCCTAGAAGATTCGGCTGATCAACTACGTCGGGCTCTGGATCTCTCATCTGCAAAATCGTGGATTGGATCGCATGGTACCTAAAACCTTCATTCTACTCTAAAATTGGCTAGTTACTTAGATTTTGACTTTGTCATTCAGGACCAATAACCAGATGTGCATTTACTTTTCAGATGTGTATTTGGATTTTGAAGGACCTCTGGTGGTACAGTGGTTAAGTGCTTGGCTGCTAACTGAAAGGTCAGCGGTTTGAACCCACTAGCTGCTCTGCGGGAGAAAGACCTGGTGATCTGTTCCCGTAAAGATTACAGGCTAGGAAACCCTATGGGGCAGTTCTGCTCTGTCCTTTAGGGTAGCTATGAGTCTGAATTAACTTGACAGCACACCACGAAAACAACAACATTACTGTCGTATAAGAGTCACATTTCCCTCCTAAAGGGCTCATCTCTGTGGAGCCTCTTTGTTCTTTGTGGAGAACGTGATTTCTCTTGCAGCTCGTCTTTGCAGTTGAAGTGTAAGCAGAAAGTACTTCATATTTCCTGGTTGTTCTTGATGACTGTCACCTTGTCAACAAGGTTAATACCATCCGGTGTTGTTGTTATTGTTGCTTCAGTTGACATATTTGGAATGGAGAATGTTGAGTTGGTATAGTGTTTCCCTGGTACCATCTTAATCTTAAATTGAATATACAGTTCCCCCAACCATTTTCTTTGCCTTTTAAAAACAACTTAATTTTGTTTGGGGATATTCAAATATTAACAAAGGTAGCTGGGCTGTATTGTTCGAGGTGTAATTCCATTTCGTTTTGGATTCTGGGCACCTGTGATATTTGTCTTTCTGCACGTTAGTGCATTCAGGTGTGGGCTCATCACAAAATAAATTTGCATCATGAAGTGTCTGGGAGGAGGGCTTTAAACACTGCAGCAAGCAGATGGAAGCTCTCAGGAATGGAGGAGAGTATTTTTGCTTTCATATGGCTGATTGAATTCATTTTGAGTTTTTCAAAAATACATCATTAAGTAGTGTTTCTTTTCTGAGCGTTGTTGACCTTGGAGGAGTTCTTGTTTTGTATCTTCCGATGCAACAGGTGACTATTTGTGCCCTGGAGATGTGTTGTTGTTAGGTGCTGTCAAGTTGCTCTGACTTGTAGTGACCCTAGGTACGGCAGAACAAACACTGCCGCATCCTGCACCATCCTCATGATCATTGTTAGGCTTGTACCCATTGTTGCCACTGTGTCAGTCCATCTCGTTGAGTGTCTTCCTTTATTTCACTGACCCTCCACTTTACCAAGCGTGATCACCTTCTCCAGGGAGTGGTCTCTCCTGATGGTCTCTCACCATCCTTGCTTCTGAGGAGCGTTCTGGCTGTATTTCTTCCAGGACAGATTTGTTTGTTCTTTGGGTAGTCCATGGTATAGTCAATATTCTTCATCAACACCATAATTCAAAGGCATCAATTCTTCTTCTGTCTTCCTTATTCATTGCCTAGCTTTCGCATGCATATGAGGCCATTGAGAACACCATGGTTTGGGTCAGGCACATCTTAGTCCTTAAAGAAACATCTTTGCTTTTTAACACTTTAAAGATACCTTGTGCAGATTTGCTGATTGCAGTGCGTCATTTGATTTCCTGACTGCTGCTTCCATGGGTGCTGATTGTGGATCCAAGGAAAGCAAAATCCTTGACAACTTCAGTCTTTTCTCCGTTTATCATGATGCTGCTCATTGGTCCAGTTGTGAGGATTTTTGTTTTCTACTTTGTTTTCCCAAGGATGTGGAGGATGGTATTCCACATGGGGTGTCTCCCAGGCCACACATGGTGCCACATGATCCGTGTTTGGTAGCAGAGGCCGTAGCTTTGACGCAGGGATGCTCACGTTTGGTTTCCTGGTCTGTTGCATGCGTACCTGTGTGACCTGGGACTGGTGACTTAGCATCTCCAAGCCTCACTGCCTCCATCTAGACAAGAGATGGAATGACCCCAGCTTTGCACACTGGACATATGCTATACTTGTAGATGGAACCAAGACCACAGCTTCCACATCTACTAGTTCTGTGACCTTGGGCAAGCTTAAGCTACTTATCCTCTGGAAGCTTCTGTTGGCTTATCTACAGAACATTCTGGTAATTGTATCTACTGCCTGGTGGTGTTTTGCAAGTCAAATAAGATAATGTATGTAAAGTTCTTAGTGTACCAGCTTCTTGGCACAAAGTAAAGGCTCACTGTTAGCTTTTACTAATATTAACAGTAATCATGCTAATCTCTCTGGATTCTCCTGAAGTTGATTTTTTGTAAAATAACCTATTGCCGTTGAGTCAGTTTCAACTTACAGCGACCCTGTAGGACAAAGTAGAACTGCCCATAGGGTTTCCAAGGAGTGGCTGGTGGATTCGAACTGCTGACCTTTTGGTTAGCAGCCGAGCTCTTAACCATCGCACCACCAGGGCTCCTAAGTAAGCTATATTCAGTCATCCCCCAGGTATGTGTTTCTATGATCACCCAAACTGTTGAGTCGACTCCAACTCATGGTGACCCCATCTGCATCAGAATAGAACTGTACTCCATAAGGTGTTCAGTGGCTGATTTTTTGGAAGTAGATTGCCAGGCCTTCCTTCCAGGCCACCTTTCGGTTAGCAGCCGAGTGTGTTAGCCACGTGCACCCTTCCTGTGACTCAGCGGAGTGATGACTCTGTCTCATTATGGGTCTCCCTCTCTTCCAGCATTGACAGAAGGCTATGTCGGGACCCTGCATGAGAACAGACACGGCAGCTCAGTGCAGATCCGCAGGCGCAAGGCTTCTGGCGACCCATACTGGGCCTACTCTGGTGAGTTGAATTGTTCTGATCGGGATCACACAGGCCAGTTAACATCTCATTAAACTCACTCGAAAGCACACTTTTAATCACTTTCACGCCTGAGTTCTATTTGTTCAAACCTTTTATAGTTCACTGAAAGTTGAAGTAGTCAACCGTGTTTTTCCTCAAGGTTCTAAGTGCTTTAATTTATCTCTCCCACCTGTTTTCTCAACCTGTTTTTTTTCCCTCAATTTGCATTTATTTCTGAACTTTCCTTGTTAATGAGTTATTGTTCCAAACTTGTAATTTTCCAAGAGACACAGCATTCTCTATTCTCTCTTTTTGGGTGCTGTGATTTCAGAGAGCAAAAAATAAAAGGCTAGCCTTGAGTGGCTAAATGTCTGCTAAATATTACAGAGTATAAGATGGCAAAATGGTCTATTATGCTCAAATCCAAGAAATGCAATGTTATTTTCAAATCAGAGCCTGTTGATTGAATATATTTCAGCCCTCTACTCGATGGTATTCTGCATTTCTTTTCATTTTTATTTTTTACTTCTAGCCTTTGAGCCAATGAAGAGATAGCGTTGATTACTCTGTTGACTGTTACACTGGAAATGATTTTCTTATATTTTAAGAGCCCAAAAAATAGACATACAAGAATATGCAATTCTTTCTGGATTGTACTTCTAACAACCTCTAACAAAAAATGTGATAGATGGATTGGTATTTCTAAAAGAGATTTTGGTGCTGAAAAATATATGGAAAATGTATGCTAGCTAATTAAAGAGGAAATGCTCTGGGAAGAGAGACCACTTTGGAAATTACTTTGGCACTCAGTAATTCAGATTCTTTGTACGAATCAGCTTGGAGGCATGGAGCATTAGTCTCAATAATAAATCTACATATTATGAAATGTTGTTACATATAGAACTGAAAGATATTATTTGCATAATGATGCTCTCTTTTCCATCCTGAATTTCTACCTGCAGATGCTGTTAAATTTATGTCAGTGTGAATTTATAGGCCTGATCTTTAATTACACCTTATCTATTGGCTGCTTGCATCCTTTTGTCTATTGATGAATCTCCTGCCCCTCCTGGGAGAATAGCCTATGTGTTTTGTTTTGCAGGGAGCAGACAGTGATTCCAAAGTCTTCCGTCACAACCCGTTCCTTCTCATTAGAATTATCCAATTAGAGCCTTGTTGTCACTCTTTCTGATAAATGAAGGAAATCGGGAGATGAAGACCCGAATTACATGTATATAGCGTCTTGCCAAGAAGCCCAGAGAAAATGTATCATTTTGTACCCTGTGGCTGTGATATCGGATTTACAGTTCATCAGTTTAGACTAATAATGCTGTTAGTCAGGAAATGGGAAATTATATCCCATCAGCATCTGCAGTTGCAAATGGCAGCGAAGGATTGAAAAACCCAAAACTTTTCACATTCCTTAGTTTAGAATGTATGTAAGTCATGCTGTCTTTGGGGTGGGATGATGTTTGGTGTCTTTTACCCTGGTGGACTTAAGGAGTGTCCTTCTTAGATTTCTGGGGTGCATTGTGTCTGGATTTGGGTACTGCCTGTATTAGTGGAGGGGCTCATAGTTCTAGTTCTGTGGTTGGCAAACTTTTTCTGTAAAGGGCTGGATAGTAAATATCTTTGGCTTTGCAGGCCGTATAGTCTCTGTTGCAGCTGCTCATTTCTGCCGTTGCAGCATGAGAGTAGCCGTAGACAGTACTGGAGAAATCGTATTTATCATTCCAATAACACTGTAGTCATTTAGGGAATCCCTCAGGAGGATACGGACTGGTTTGAAGAACCAGTGAAGTCACTTGCTAGGCGTAATGGAGAAAATAGTAAAAGAAGAAAAGAAAGAGACAGGTATCAAGTGACGACATTTAATCCTCATGCTTGAAATAGTTCTTCCTAAAAATTCCGCAGTACCAGTGGTTACTCCACGCAGAAGCAGTGTGATATTGGTTCTCGTGTCAAGAAGACTTGGTCCATCAGAGACTCCTTAGCATCTGGCCAGTAGACAGAGAAAGGGCAGGAAGGAGTAAGAGTTGTTGCTTGTTACTTTTGACACTTCAGACCAGCACCTTAAACCACAGCAAATCAGATGTGGGACTGGTAGCTACAGAATAAACCAAAAAAAATCACACCCATTGCCGTCGAGTCGGTTCTGACTTCTAGCCACCCCATAGGGTTTCCAAGGCTGTAAATCTCTATGGAAGCAAACTGCCACATCTTTCTCCCACAGAGCCGCTGATGGTTTCGAACCGGTGACCTTTCAGTTAGCCGTCAGTTACTTTAACCATTGCACCATCAGGGCTCCTTTAGCTACAGTATATATACACCGCTAAATATGAATGTTGATTAAAGAATGGGACTGCCAAAAGAAAGGCTGCTTCTTTGCTAGGGGAAACATTTTTAAATTTAGCGAAGATGAAGCAGGTTATTTCTGGAAGTTTTATTTAGTAGTCTTGATTTTAATCTCATGCCTCTAATTAGATGGATTTATCTTAGTTCCTCCTACGATAATGCTTGGGAGGCACGGCGTATGAGAGCATGAATTTTGGAATTATATAGACAGACCTTGGTTTCAAATCCAAGCTTTGCCACAAGTGGGATGACATTTAATTGTTCTGAGCCTCAGTTGCCCCATCTGTGAAATGGGAATGATTAATACCACGTCCCTCGTAGGGTTGTTAAGGGGATGAAATTAGATGATGTATGTGAAAAGTTTAATTTAGTTTCTGGAATAAAGTAAGTAATATTACTTGTTGCTGCTTTTGACACTATGCTTACTGTTTCTGCTGCTGCTGTTGATGTTGTTATTATTGGAATTCTCAATGGATAGCCACAAGGGACAGTGGTTGATCACTAGATAATAGTGAAAGCTCAGCAAGTTGGGTTTTAAAATCTGTGATTCACAAGGGTTTCCTGTATGGGATTTGGGAATGAGTGTCAAGCAAAACGATTCTCAAGTCCAGAGGTTG